TTTTTTTTTTTTTTTGAAAGCCGAGGTCGGGGGTGCCGACCCCCGACCCCCGGGACCCCCGCCGGGGCCCCGGGCCCGGGGGTCGACAACCCTGGTAGCGGCGAAACAACTGAAATGATCAAAGACATGATTGAAATTGCAATTACTAGAGCTCTGTGGAAAAAGACAGTACAAGGGATGAGAGCTCTCACAAAAAGATCAGACATTATTCAAAGATTAAACGAATTTTGCATGGACTGGTTAGAGGGGAACGGGGGGACGGATTGCATGGATACAATGGGATGGCTGGCTTTTGGATGGCAATGATCGTTTGGAGAAAGCTCAGAAGGACTATCGACTGCTCTTCCGCAAATGGACTGAAATCCCCAGTGTCATCCCACTAGCCCCAGTCTCTGAATTCCCTGATCTTTTCCCCCCATCAAATAACACTTTAGTTGAGCTGAGTTGGTATGGCCGAGAGACGGTGGAGCCCGCCCATCACAATCCCGGTGGGACCAGCCAGGATGGAGAAAGGGAATAGGAGGATTAGGTCTCTGCCCCGGTTGCCCCCCGGACGCAGAACCTGCCTCCCCACCCCTCCTCACACCTGGCCGGTCCACCTAAGATATGGATGGGAGGCCGGGCCCCCTGTACCTGCAGTACTCGCTGGAAAAAGGGGGAATGGGACTAGTAGCAGGTAGATGTGTATCTGGCGCCGGCTTCATGGTGAAGAGGTCCCCCCCCCACTCCAATACCCTGCTCAGTCAATCCCCTGGGCCCCAGGGTAATCAATGATGGCAGGACCCCCCAACTGTGTGTCAGATGTATTCCAATTTCAGTCTGAGGTTAGGGCATGCAGAATAATCTGGTTATAACACACTTTCCTTCACAGGACTGCCCAGTCAATCCCCTTGCTTGTAGGGCAATCAATGCTGGCAGGCCCCACAGTCTTAATTCTCCTTTTTCAGACATTCTCAGACATTCTTCTTCATGTTAATGGGACGTTGGACCCGTTTTTCAGCAGGTGATGCTCCCCACCAATAGATGGAGCCTCTCCCCAGGTGTTAGTGGTGTCTGCTCTTATCAGCAGCACTAACTCTGGTGGGGGCGTGTTTAAAAAAAAATAATAATAATAAAAAAAAAAAATTTACCTCTTCTTTAATTCTCTTGAATTTCTTCAATAGTTCTCAGATTGATTCTCAGCCGAAGCCGGGTAATGGCCCCGGCATCTCAAATGACTTGTGCAACTCTATATGGGACGCTGGCCCCGGTTCCCAGCACGTGCTGCTCCCCATGAATAGAGTGGAGCAGTGCCGTACCCCCGTTCACCGTTCACGGGGTCTGTGAACGGAAACCGGTCATGGAGTTCACGAAGTTCACGACATGGGAGTTCATGGAGTTCACGGAGAGCGGGATCGTTTTTTTTTTTTTTTGGCTGCGGGGGGGKGTTTTGTTTTTTTATAGGAGGGTGGGGGTCATCGAAGGGTAACCCCCATAATTTTTTCAACTTTTTTTTTTCACGAATAATATTTTTTTTAAATTAAAAACGAATAGTTCGCCCCCACCAGTGTTAGTGCTGCTGATAAGAGCAGACACCACTAACACCTGGGGAGAGGCTCCATCTATTGGTGGGGAGCATCACCTGCTGAAAAACGGATCCAGCATCCCATTAACATGAAGAAGAATGTCTGAGAATGTCTGAAAAAGCAGAATTAAGACTGTGGGGCCTGCCAGCATTGATTGCCTGCCGGGGCCATTACCCGGCTTCGGCTGAGAATCAGTCTGAGAACTATTGAAGAAATTCAAGAGAATTTAAGACGAGTTTTTTTTTTTTTTTTTTTTTTTTTTTAAC